CATTCTACGCCCTCATCGGAAGGAGTTTATGAGTTGCCGGTAGACAGGGGTGTAGGGGAAGAGTAGCGGAACTTTCTCTTGAGACTACTCCCATCAACTAATACTACCCCCTAAGGGAGTTCTACAAGCGATGCTCTACGATTAGAAGCGATGCTGTACGTTAGATAACAGCCGTGTGACAGGCGTACGCTCGTCGAGTATGAACGCAGCACAGAATAGTTTTCCAGAACAGTTCGGAGACGGGGGGGGGCATTTTGCTTTTTGCTACTTCCCATCGACGTGTCGACCTATCTAGACAGCCTCTTCTCGAGTTGACAGGTTTTACCATGATGGCTTGACGACCTTGCTCCAGCTTCACAAGAGTTCACAGGTTTCACCAGAGTGAGACTTGTAAACCGGAACTAAGAAGCAATGAAAGTACAAAATGCCCCCCCCCCGTTGCCGAACTGCGCCTTTTTCTTTTGATAAAGCTGTAGTTGCCACACTAGTTCTCCATACCTCTAGACAAGTATAAATCAGGGTAGAACGTGCCACAGAACACCGTGACCTTGAAATATGGCTGATACAGTCGTTGGAGTAGTCCGATTATAGATTTCCACGGGAAGTTACTAGTGATTATCAGTGCCTTAAATGATTTTACCTGGTGAACTGAATTCAATACAGTGTATATTGAAAAAGTATATTCATGAAATCACCACAGTAGTAAGCTCATCCCACACGTCTTCTCTCTGACGAACAACGGCAAGTTCTTCTGGTGAAGGTAGTCCCACGAAGTTTCCTCAAAAAAAAATAAATCGTAAACCTCGGACCTTTATAGGCAGATATTGTTCGCTGTGGGTGGTGGAGCGTGTCAAGGGGGGATGGTTTTGGCGAAGCAAACAACCCGTTTTTTTTTCTTCCTTTGGCCAACGACGATACAGTAGCATACCGCTCGTGGTGTTCGGTGTTCTCCAGCTGTCGTTGTCTCTCAACCGTTTCGACAAGTGGTGGAGAACGGGCTGACGGTGCGCCAAACCTAGCCTAACTGACACGCCCCATCATCCGCACCGAACATGACTGTACTATAGCTCCGTGGCCAAAGGACCATAACTCAGGGTTTTAAAGATCTAAATCGGCCAAGTCTTATGAATGTTGAGCTCAGTTGGAGGAATGAAACAGACTGAAGTTTTAGTAGCTTGTACAAGGACTGCGTAAGCTGAGCTCACTCTCAGTCATTGTACAAACTGCTCTGGACTGGGTCCTTGAGGATTTAATTCAAATTTAGCTGATGGTTTATCTCAAAAGCTTCCTGGGGCAGTTTGACGCCGGGGGGAGGGGAACTTTGCACATTCGCTGGTCCACTAGTTCCGGTTTGCATAGCTCATTGTGGTGAAACCTGTGCGCTAATGTGAAGCTTGAGCAAGCTCGTCGCGCCAACCTAACTCTTGTAAGCTCGTGTAATAGCTCTCTAGATGGCTCGCCATGTCGATGGGAAGTAGCAGAAGTGCAAAATGCCCGCCCTCGTCAGCGAACTGCCCTGAGCTGCACTATTTCCCACGGGATACGGGCAGGAGAATCGTGGTTTGCCGCTCCGCCGCGCGCCGCCATGAGTGCGGTCGATCTTTTTTTTGTTAACCTGTCGATTGGAGCACCGGACTTCATGCAGACCCCGTCATCGTAGACATTCATGATATTTTCGGTTCTGAATTGCCTGTTGTCGCCATCTACTACCTGGAACCATCGTCATTCGCTGGCGCGACGTCGTACGCGGCGCCCAACGGTTCTCTTGTCACATACCCATTCCCCCGAGCTTTGTTCTCTCGGCACTGTCCACCCCTTGCTGGACAATTTTCTGAGCTCTGGCATAAGGAAAGAACAGAAAGGCTAAAGAAGCGATAGAAAAAAGAAAGAAAGGAGTGAGAAATCAGCTGCTGAAAGTAGATATGGGTAGAATCCTCTCCTCGAAAGTCGATCAACGCGTAAAGACAATTCCCGCGACCAAGTGTTACGGGTATTAGGTGGTCAATCATGAACCAGTAGCCCATGAGTAACTCCGCAATAAAGAATAAAACGAGCAAAAACATTTGGAACACTCTGAAGGGGATCCCCTCATCAGTGAGGCGCCTTGGACGAGTTTGTCGGACGTCGGCAAGTCCAGTCGGAAGGATTCGACGTGGAACCGATTCCCGGCAAGAGAACAGGCAATCACCCTACGACGCGCAATGCAACGCTTTGTACACACGCAATTTCGCTTGCAAGCCGTTGTTTTGCAGCTTTTTTTATCCGCCGTCTCGAGTGACGAAAGTGGTATATTCTCTGCAAATGCGGACAACGATGCCAAATCACTACAAGGGAGGTCGTTCAGGGCGTGGTGCGCTTTTCGAAAACGGTTTTTGCATATTGTAGGGGCTCATGCAAGGACCTGAAAAGTGTGCTTCATTTTCGCTGCGCGCTTCCAGGAAAGGTAAAAAACGAGTGAAAAGAAATCTTTGGAATCTGCTTCGTTCTGGGCCTCTATACGGCGTAGGTCACTTGCAACTTTGACCAGTTGCTGAGTGGGGGTCCTTATAAAGGGGCTATTTGAATCGAAGCGAAAAATCGCCGCAAGTGAGCTTCCAACTTGGGTCATGTGCTCAAGGGTGAACGGCTTCTTGCAATGGTTTCATCAACGATAAGAGCGCTAGCAGTGTCGAGCATCGGATGGCCTAGCGGATAGAGTGGAGGTTTCGCAATCGGACAGTGAGGGTGGGGTTGATGGTTCGGCTCCCCTTGCGTCGCGGCTTTTTGCATTTTTCAGATTTCGCTGTTCTCGCTTCCATTAGTGTCTGCGCATGAATATAACTCGGATATTTGCCATTTATGGGCACATTCTGAGTAGCTGTACCTCATGAGTCAGTGCTATTCAACTATTTCGATTTTCACGCACCATTGAACAAGATTGTTGCTGGACGTTGATCCTCATAGGCTATACAGTGGATCTGATTGCGAATTTAGTAACTTCTGGTGTGGTGTCAATTATAGACAATTTGGGGCCACATCTTCTTTCCACTGAATTCGTTATGTACACCAATATAGGGAACGTTCAGCGCTATTCTGTCGCCAAATTGCGTGGACGCCAAGAATAGGTGTTATATTTGTGATCAGGGCCACTGATTACCACTAAAAACGAATTTTCGGTCAAAACAATTGTTTTGACCTTCTTGGGTTTGCTTATTGGGTTGGGGTCCGTAGCGTCAACGATACGCATCGCTGTTACGAAGATGTGAGACTCCGCTCACACTGCCGACCAAATGGTCACCTACAACCCGAAAAAGTCAAAAAAATTTTTGCTCAAATGCTCCTAGGGGTAATCGACAGTCCTGATCACGATTCTAGACTTTATTTTCGGTTCCAGTGCCATCTGGCACCGGCATAGCGCCGAAGAGCTGAGTCTGTGCATACAAACGAATTCGAACGAAAAAGCAGTTTTGCTCCATAAAAGTAGGATTGTTCAGTTTATCGTGAATGTTTTTGTTAGGACCAATTATTTAGACAAACATGGATCCAAAAAATGAAAAATTGTAGAAAAGCAAAATTTTGTCCTCGGTGGGATCCGAACCATCGACCTATTTTTTACGTTTTTTTATTCGTAGAAGCGCGCAGCGAAAATGAACCTCAGTTTTGAGGTCCTCGTATGTGCCCTACAATATGCACAAGACCATTTTGAAAAAGCTCACCACGCCCTGAACGACCTCCCTTGTTAGGCGTGTGGCGGACTACTTAATTGCGGGAACTGTCCTTAAGCTGCGGAAATCACGAGCATTCTACAAAAAATCATTTGCTGACTTCCAGCGAATTTGGTGATACATGGTCCAGGCACACCCGCACGATACCCTAAGGGCGCCTGGGACCCCAGGGGCGTGAGATGTTTCCGAGTTGGAAACGTAAAAACAGTGCATCCAATCTTTTATTAGGAGGCCTGTTGTAATCCATATAAAAAAGTATTGGCGTACTTGAATAATTTGTACTGTTCGCACACCACTCTTCGACGTCGTTGAACAATGATAACTGCTTTTCTGCTCGAGACTGGAAACACACCACTGGCAACAAATTATCGAGTCTTTAACGTGGATAAGGACCTTATGCGTAACATACTCGTCACTGTCGGTGATCTTCTGCAGTGTCAACTCCGCCGAATCGCTATCGCTATCAGCTCAAAAATATTAGGGGATTAATTTTGATTATGTTTAGGTTTTGCTTTCGGTCATCAGAACTTCTTATTATCGATTATTATGATTTGATAGCAGCTGTAGTGCTTAATTAACAGCATTTAGCATAATGTCAGAAATCCATTCAAATTTCTGAATGGGTGGGTTCAGAGAGATGACGGCGTTTTCGCTGTAGATGGTCGACTTGTCGGGAGGAGGGATGGGCTTGGAGCGGGGCCAGTCCGTTCTCCACCACTTGGCATTAATTGGTGGAAATCGGGCTAGCGCCAAGACGAACAGAGCTCTCTGTCACGCCCCAGTTTCCGCGGCGAACAAGACTATAGCTTAATTTCCGTTCCGCATTTGCTCTCAAGCAGAAATCAGAAAGGGTGGGAAGTAACTGATAAGGCAGTGATAATTTTAGAGAATTATTCTTCGAGAAATGTTCTCATTAATTAGTTGAATACATTTCTATCAGCCTTGTAAGCTTCAAGGGTACCTCTAGAAGTGATTCAATCAGGGGTCAGTCTCACTCTTCCATTTTAGTACATACGGACTCAGAAACAACAACTTGTGAGCAGGAAATTTCTTGTGAGCAGAAAGTCTCAGTTTGCTCACTTCTAGGCTTCTGTAGGAAGAAAATAAATGGTGAGCATTGACCGATAAAGCAAAGTAATAAAAATGTTATCAGTAGTTAATAAGCTAAATGTTGCAATATTTGCTTACGGACTAACTTTCTGAAG